GATGGGTGTGTATGTGCTTATAACATACTTTCCACCGCTGGGTCGCTTGCTGGGTTTAAACACAGTGAGGAGACTAAAGAGAGTCTGCTAACCGGAGGGGGAATACTAACTGTAAGGGGCGGGAGCTCTCCGAGGAAACGAAGGCCAAGATCTCTGATGCTATGAGGGGGAAGAACCACTCTGATGAAACTAAGGCGAAAATCTCTTCTGCTAATAAGGGAAAAAACCACTCAGGGGTTAAGAATCCCAACTTCAACAAGGAACAAGCTGTCCACCTAATCCAAGTTACCCCTTCGGGTCTCAAACACGTGCTCTCGTTTCCTAACCAAAGCCGCTGCGCTGAAGCCTTAGGAGTCCATCGAATGTCGATAACCCGTCGTCTGAAGAATAAAGCGGTTTTCCGCTACAATGGTTCCGATCATTTTGTTACCTCCTCGTTGCCCTCGAATCTGACTTAAAATTCCCCCCGGGGCCCCCGGGCGGCCCCCCTCCCCTGTTAGCAAAGCAAAAGTTGCTTTTATTTTAAAGGAAAGGATTTATTTAAATTTCATGTAGCTCTCCAAGAAGTCACTTTAAGCTACACTTTTAACGAAATGTTAACGACTCTTCTGAACCTACTAGTCTTAGTTATACCTCTGCTAGGTAGTATTGCTTTTATGACTCTGGCTGAACGCAAGGTGATGGGCTCGATGCAGAGACGTCTAGGCCCTACGGAGGTGGGATTTATTGGATTATTACAGCCCGTGGTAGATGGGGTTAAACTGCTTCTAAAGGAGGCTGTCATTCCGAGCCTGGCAATCAAGCCCCTATTCTTATTGGCCCCTTTTATCACCTTGACCCTTAGCATTTTGGCTTGGGTAGCCATCCCATTTGCCAAGGGTTCAGTCGTAGCCGATTTCTCCCTAGCACTCCTATTCCTAATGGCCGTTAGCTCATTAGCTGTCTATGGGGTGCTGCTAGCCGGTTGGTCTGCTAACTCTAAATTCGCTTTCCTAGGTTCCTTAAGATCAACTGCTCAGCTTGTAAGCTATGAACTTCCATTTGCAACAGTGATTTTAATAGTAGCGTTGCTATTAGGTTCGCTGAGCCTCATTCAAATCGTCGAAGCTCAGCAAAGTATTTGGCTTCTCGTGCCTCTTCTGCCTCTAGCTCTAATTTGGCTTATTGTTATCTTGGGTGAGACGAATCGTACGCCTTTTGATCTGCCTGAGGCAGAATCAGAGTTGGTCCAAGGGTTCATGGTAGAACACTCTGCATTGCCCTTCGCATTCTTCTTTCTAGGCGAGTATGGAAGCATGCTCCTCCTCTCCTCACTTACCAGTATCCTCTTCTTAGGGGGCTATTTACCGCCTTTTGCTATTAAATTCGGTTTCTTACCACCCTCCATCGTTGAGTCTTTAACTTTAGGGGTTAAAAGCGTAGCTATTTTCTTTTTCTTCATTTGGATCCGAGCAACTTTACCCCGGGTTCGATTTGATCAGTTAATGGTGCTATGTTGGGCTGCCCTTCTCCCTCTTGGCTTTGCTTTTGCTATATTTGTGCCTTCTATTCTAGTAGCCTTTGATATTACACCTTAACTTAAATTTCCCCCCATCTGCTTCCGGCCTCCGGGCAAGGAACTTAGTCTTCAACAAGAACAGCTACGGTTACAAAGAGCTCAAATGGAACTACAATCACGTCAAACTATACCAGCTTATAATCCTAATATTTCTTCTGAAATTCAGTTAGAGCAAGCTCGAATGCAACGTATATCACTTGAGCGTAATGTACCTATATCTCAACCATCAACTTCAGCTCCAAGTGTTAGTACTCCAGTAGAGCAAACTCCTACTGTTACTCCTTCACAGCGTTACTTACTGAAGTAGATTATAAATACCTAATGAATCCTTTAAATGTTATTACGTACGACCAGACCAGACCAGGGCAGGGCCGGGCGGGGCGGAGGGGGGGACTAACGAGATGGTATAGGAACATGGGTCACTCTATAGATGATGTTTTTCCTATAGTGAGGACTAATGTTTAAATATCCGTAGGGAGCCTGCTTGCGCCTTGCTTTTCAACGGCATCTCTCTAGAGAATGCCACTCCTAACTACTACGCGGATCGTAGTCGAATGGTTAAGACGATCGGTTTGGGACCGATAGACTGTAAGTTCGAATCTTACCGATCCGATTAGTTTAATTGAGCTTATCCTGGGCTCCGGAGGGTTAATTGAACCGGATCCAAGTTGATGGCAAATGGCGCCTGAGCGCCCCGGCATACCCCTACGGCTGTATGGCATCCCATCGACCAGCGACTGTAACATTATTCTTGGGTTACCACAAACCATCTTATGAGCTTGGCCTTTACTCGGTTCCGGCTACGCCGACGGCCCCCACACACCAGCCCCAGGATGCGGCTTTTGTCACAGGGTGCCTGCACCCCCGAAGCCGACCCGCCAACCCATTGGCTCATGCTTTTACTTATTTAGGGCTGGCCACTGCGGGAGGATGGATGTTAGCTCTCGCGTTACCCCTTAACGTAGCCATTGAAATTATTGTTTAATTGTTCCTTAGAACAATATACTACTCTTTGGACCGTATTTTAGATTCCAGACGAGATTGTCCTCTGGACAATATACTCCCCTGATACACACCGGGAACCTACGTAAACTTCAATGATTGATTGATATTTGTTGGAGGAAGCTCCAGCAATAAGCAAAACATCATGTTATGCCCCCTATGATGGGTTATCGTGTTGGATTGTAGACTTTCTTCTTTAATTTGATTAACCTGCCCTGGTTATTATCCGTATTTGTTCTCTTTCTCTTTTATTCTTTTGTGTGCTTCAATTTGGCTTCTTTACTATCTTAGTCAAAATTCCCCCCGCCTCCACCTAGCCTAGTTTAGTTCTAGTTCGGTTATCATCTTACTAATTATAGCTCTTTTGTTCCTTAAGGAACATACAACCGAGAAGAAGGCGAACTGGATCGCAAGCTCACTGTAAATGAGCGACCTGACAAGGTCAAGGGGGTTCGAATCCCTCTCTTCTCATAGACCTTTCTAGAAACCTGAAGGGCTCTGGAGAATTAGCGAACTAAACGCACATTGCCTTCGGCAATGGAAACCCAATAATAGATTGAGCCTAGGTCAGCTGGTGAAACTACCATGTTGATGAGCT